CAGATGAGTGAAGTTGCAATTGCTAGCAGATGGCTTGCTCTCTAGCAAACTTGATTTGTGCCCACGTACTAGTCATGCAACGTGAGAGATTCTAACTCATTCTTCAGCAGTTATTTATTGCTAGGTGTCATGAACTTTTGGGTGAGATACATGTGAGAATCGCATGGTTATAACCCTGGGCCTTTATCTTCTGAGTAGATATGAAGTATCCCTGAGAAACGGCCTGGTTCAGTTTGCCTCTCATCAAATGCCGAGACCACCTCGCTGACGTCCCTCTAACATTTTAGTTGAGGCTCACTCTGGGAATGGAAATTCATTGCACTGTTAGATTTCCTGTCTAAAATGAGATGGCTGGATTTGATTCTAATGCCCTGTGGTTTTATTCTGACCCATCAAGGCCAATAGGGGGAAAACTGGTACAAAGCTAAAGCACTTTTAGTCAATGTCACTGCTCCCCTCTGGTAGTATTGAGAATGAATTGGGTTATAACAGAATGGGTGAGCTGAGAGCTCACGTTTTAAACAGCTGGATAGGTGAGTGGGAAATAACCAGATTGCTGGTTCTTAGATAGTTTTTGGAGCCAATTCTCATCCTGTACCTTGTGGAACAGGCTTCTGAAGACCTTCTAAAGGAACACTACATTGACCTGAAGGACCGTCCATTCTTTGCCGGCCTCGTGAAGTACATGCACTCAGGACCAGTGGTTGCCATGGTGAGTGTGCTTGTGTGGGATGTTGATGTGAATGACTCAGTTGGGAGTGAAGAGTAAGTGTTATGATTCCTGCTTCGGATGCCAGGTCTTCATTGATGCAGAAGAAACTGGGGCTGGGCGGATGGAACAGTTAGGATATGAGTCAGCTCTCTGACCCACTGAAGACAAGATACATTTACTTGCTGAAAGGAAGACTCACAGCTGGGAGAGATCAGGAGGGGTCTGCCCGATTGTAAGCTTCTGGAGGGCAGGACTTACTACATTAATTCTCAGTGTGTATTGTCATTGTTCTGCCAGGCTCTTTTCTAGACACTGGGGATACAGTCATGAATGAGACAAAATAGGTACCTGTTTTCATAGCTTTCCTTGCCTACACAGTTTGAAGGGATGAAGGGCAGATAATGAAGTAACCAAATGTGTGTGTGTGTGTGTGTGTGTGTGTGTGTATGGCTAATGATTAGTGATTTGCACAGAAATGAGATAGGACGATGTGATAGCAAGCGACCACTTTAGATTGAGTGGTCAAGAAACATGACTTTCAAGCTGAGATCTGAATGAGAAGGAGCCAGTCAGCCACATACAAAATCACAGTGAAGAGCACGCACCCTCAACCACGCAAAAAGCATATGCAAAGGACCTGGGTGGGGACTTGTTGAAGTACAGAAAGAGGTTGGAGTGGCTGAAGCCTGCTGGATGAAAGAGAAGGTTGGATGAAGTAAGTTCAGAGGCGCAGGTAGGGGCCGGATCATGTAGAGTTATGTTGGCCATGAACTTCACGAGTGCTGTGAAGTTATGGGAAGGTTTACGCTTGGCATTTAAAAAAGCCAGCCAAGTCCGGGGTGGCTGGTTAGCTCCGTTGATTAGAGCATGGTGCTGATAACACCAAGGTTGCTGGTTTGATCCCCGCATGGGCCACTGTGAGCGGCACCCTCGTTAAAAAATAAATAAATAAATAAAAAGGCCAGCCACTCTGGCTGCTGTGCCAAGAATGGATTGTAGAAAGTAGGGACAGGGAGATCAGTATGCCCAGTGCTGGAACAAGTAGGTGCTCCATAAATATTTGTTTAGCGAAAGAATGTCATCTTAAGGGGCCTTTTACTTTTCTTTTTTTGAATTTATAGTTATCAGATTTTTCTGCTGAAATTGGTTTTCTTCCTTGACCATATCTTCTTTTGTCCTTGGAGGTGTGGGAGGGGCTGAATGTTGTGAAGACAGGCCGAGTGATGCTTGGGGAGACCAATCCGGCGGATTCTAAACCTGGGACCATCCGAGGGGACTTTTGCATCCAAGTTGGCAGGTGGGAGTTGGTACTTTTTACTCTTTCCCAAAATCTGAGTTAGGTGCCATAAGAATTTGTGTTCCTGTGCTTGGGGATGAACAGGATACCATATACAGATCAATTTTAAATCAGTTCATTGTTTTTCTCTCTTAGTTACTATTTGGCTTTGCAGGCTCTCTGCCTTTGATTGTCAACATTACTGTGGTTATGCCTCTGTTAAGAGAGTAGAACCTGGTGCAAGGCCCTTTCCAAAGACTCTTGCCGCTTGCATCAGTGTTGCTAGGAGGGTTGGATGTGGGAGGGCATTCGTCATCCTCCATCAACAGCAGTCATGGGTTTTTTTCTTTTGACGCAAACTGATAACATGGAGCTTTGCTTTTTTTCCTACTGCAGTGGCTGTGGGCTTTCTGGCAATGGGAGTGTGTGTGTTGGCGAGCTTCTGGGCAATTAAATCCTTCTGGTCTTGATAATGTGGCCATCTCTTTCCCCATCCAGGAACATTATCCATGGCAGTGATTCCGTGGAGAGTGCAGAGAAGGAGATTGGCTTGTGGTTTCAGCCTGAAGAGCTGATAGATTACAAGAACTATGCTCAGGACTGGATCTACGAGTGATGTGAAGGCAGCCTACACTCCATTTTTCTCTCCCTCCCACGGCAGGGGACCAGGCTGTAACAAATCTAGTTATTTCTGAGAACTTCCTTATAACCTGGAGGGACACTCTTGGAGCTGTGAGTGCTCCCTGAACAGTGTTATGTGATACCACCAGATTAAAATGTTTCATTCCAACTAGGATTCATCGAGTTGGTTACTTTGTGTTGCTGTATTACTTTGTATTCTTTTTTTTTTTTCTTTTTTATGTACTCTGGCTAACCTGAGCTGATAGAGTATAAATACTGTATAAATTATTTATATTGGCTTCCTGAGAGATCACACATATGCACACACAATCTTTGCCTTTCCCTCTTCCCCCCTGCATCCCATCCACTGTTGGCACCAAGCCTGTCAACAGGCATCTACCAAGGATTTGCTAGTTTGTGTGGGGCAGGAAGAGACTTTCCTCTACCCTCAAGTTTCTTCTGGCTGGTCTAATAATCAAATAGACATGAGACAGGTTAGCAAGAGAAAATAACCAAATTTAATTACATATGTATGGGAACCCCACATCCATGAGACAGTCAGATTCCACATGCATGAGAGAGTCAAAGAAAGAAAGAGAAAATGGGTACATAAGATAATCTGAGCTAGGGATGCAGTAAGGTGCCTTCCGAAGGTCATGGCAGGGAGAGCCCATGTTCAGGAATTATTAGTTTGCTCTGCCATATAGGTCAAAAGAGGTTATTGCTGATAATCTCTTCTTATGGACAGGGCCCTTAATTCAAGTTCTAGATAGTCAAGGAAGGGGCATAAGTTTCTGTTGAGCCCACCACTAAAGTTGCCTTTAACTCAAAACTATCCACATGCCACAGAGGCATATCTTGTGATAACTCGTTCTGAACCCCCATAGTTGCCAAGACTGTCCTGGGCACAGTGGATTCACTGGAAATAAAAGGTACCTTTGCTATGCTTGAGAAACAATCAGGGGCTCTGTGGATGGGGGAGTGGGAGAAGTAACTATTCCAAAACAGAAAAGCTATGTGGATAGTAGGCCTGGGTCCCTGGGATGGCCTCCAAAGGAGCAATCTAAGTAGCTTTGATTTGTTAGGATGTTGATTTGGTTGCTTTAACAGAGACAAGATGGAAATTGGCTTATCTTTTATTTAACAGTCCAAGCTGGAGAACTAGTGTATAGCACTGATTATAGTTAACAGCCCTGTATTGTTTACTTGAAGTTTTCTAAGAGTAGATTGTAAGTGTTCTGATCCCCGCTCCCCGCCACCACACACACTCAAAGGAAGGAAAGTGGTAACTGAAGTGATGGATGTGTTAATTACTTTGATCGCGGTGATCATTTCACTATATCAAAACATCAAATTATATACCTTAAACACATATAAATTTTTGTCAATTATACCGTAATAAAGCTGAAAGAAAGAAAAAGGCCAAGTAGGTGGGTAAGGAGGGCTGGTGATGGTCGTGAGGCTCTGACCCTGGAGGTTGTCCAGGGATTCACTTCCTTGTAACCAATCCAAGATGGTTCACCATCTCCATGTGCGCCTTCTTGCCAGTTGGGAAGTGGAAGCTTATTCCTGCCTTTTAAGGGTACAACTATGAATTTACCACCTTTACTTGCCCTCACATCTCAGTGGCCAGAACTTAAGTCATGTGTCTGTATCTGGTTGCAAGAGAAACTGGAAAATGTTATCTTTGTTTGGGTAACGTTGTGCCTGGATAAAACTCGCGAGTTCTACTATGAGAAAGGAGAGACTATCTACTGGGGGACAAGTACTGATTTTGCCACAAACTTGAGCAGGTTTTCTCTCTTGGTATTTTCCCTGTTCACCTGGCTTTGGTAGAGGCAAGAGAGGGCAGGGACTGCTCGGGAGGAGGCAGAGGGAGAGAGTTGGGGTGAGGCTACCATGTTTTCTTTTTCAGCTTTATTGTATAATTGACGAATAAAACTGTAAGATATTTAAAATGTCCATGATGTTTTGATATATGTGCACATTCATTGCAAAAGGATTCCTCCACCTCGTGGGCTACCTTTTCTGAGGGCAGCTGAGGGGTAGATGCATTTCTGTTTCACACAAATATGGCCTGTTTGTTGTGGTTGGTGAGAGAGATTACACAGGTAGGAAGGGGAGGAAAGGAAGCTTAATTCGGGATGGACGGTGGAAGCAGATGGTGTTGAACGGAGAAAAACCTCAAGACCAGGAGCCGGTTTTCGTGCGTGAGACAGGAAGACAGGAGTTGGATGTGGGTGTGCATAGCTTTACTTGCGGGACACACATGTGGAGAGAAACCACTTCCTGCCCCAGGAGCCCTCACTCGCTGCTCTAGCAAAACCCGGGGCGTGGACAGAGGCCTCCGACTGCGTCCGGCCTCGCGGGTTGGGCGGCGGGGACCTCCGGGGTGTGGCCGCCGCGCGCCCCTCCTCCGCGGGCGACTCCCGGCTCCCGGTGGTCGCTGCAGGTCTCGGTTCCCGTCCCGCCGCGCAGCCACTGCCCGCCCGCCAGCTCCTCGGTAAGGCGACGGGAGTGCTGTCCCCTCCCCACGGCCGGGCCCCCCTCTCTTTCTCCCCTCGCGTCGGGCGGGTCCCCGTCTGCAGGCGTCCCCCGTCTGCGGGTCCCCATCCGCAGGCCCCTGTGCCGGGTCCGAGCCCCCTCAGGCCTTCGGAGGAGCTGCAGACCCGGGCAGGGCGGAGGCGTCCGGGAAGCCACGTGTCGCGCGGCGGCTGGGCTGGTGCGCCCGCGGAGGGGCGGGCGGGGCGGGCGGGAGGGCGCTCACGTGGGCTCCTGGGCGCGGGGCCCGGCCCCGGCGCGGCCTGTGTCGGCCCGGCCGCGGGGCCCTCACCCGATCGCGCACCCTCAGGACCATGGCCAACACCGAGCGCACCTTCATCGCCATCAAGCCGGACGGCGTGCAGCGCGGCCTGGTGGGCGACATCGTCAAGCGCTTCGAGCAGAAGGGGTTCCGCCTTGTGGCCATGAAGTTCCTTCGGGTACGCGCCCCCCGCCTTCCCCTTCCCCCTCAGTAGCTCGGTCGCGGGGGTTTTTCCGTCCCGGCAGCGGCTGGTCAGCGCCTTTTCTGGTCGGGGGGTTCCCCTTTGCTAATTTCGTCCCCGCGGGCATCCCTCTCCCCTGTGCCCTGCGGGCCCGCCGACCCTTCCCCGAGGCCCCGGGAGCACAGACGCCCTTGGGAAGGTTAAGCGGAGGTAACGTGACTCCTGCCCCGGGCCGGTTTCCTTCCGTCGTCTGCGTGGGACCTTGCCCGCCGCCTGCCCCCCCGTCGCAGGGGGGCAGCAGGGAGGGAAGGAAGCCTGCGCCCAGGCCCCTCCCCTGGCCCACGTGGGTCGACCTGTGCCCCGCGGCGAGGCTTGGAATCCTTGCGTGCTTTAGCTTGCAACGCTGCGATGATGGAGGTTTTAAGTGGCGTGTCCCTTACTGGGCAGGCTCTCGTTGCCGTAGGGCAGTAATTGTGTTTCCACATTAAATTTGGGGCACACAGATGTGGACAGGAAGGGATAAGTATCTAAGTACTGAAATTTTAACCCAGATCATCAGTGAGGAGAGTGTTCTGTTAACATCTAAAATGTTTAAACGGGCATTGTGAGGGGCCAGAGGAGGCGGATATGACCTCCATGTGGCATAGTTCTTTCATTTGCAACCAGCACTTATTTTCCTAAACCTAGATCCTCAAACCACCTACTTTAAGCATTATAACATCCAAACCTCATTGACAGGAGAGCGTCTTCATGATCAGAACAGTATTTCTGCTAAAACAGGGTCAGCGGTCATGGTCTGGATTTTTTGTTTTATACATAACACACCTTACGCATGTGGGCTAAAATACTAAAGGGGACTTGTAGAGAACCTACCCTGGTAACGGGAGGTTCTGAGAAGGGGTGGAGCCATATTTGAGGTTTTCCAGTTTACTTCCTAATTGATACCTTCCCTTCACTTGCCAGGCCTCCGAGGACCTCCTGAAGCAGCACTATATTGACCTCAAAGACCGGCCATTCTACCCGGGGCTGGTGAAGTACATGAACTCAGGGCCTGTTGTGGCCATGGTGAGCGCTTGTGGAGGGAGGATGGGGACCCAAGGGAAGTGAGCGCTGACATTTAATAACTTGGCTTGCTCCGTGCCTGCCTGTCCCTGTTTTAGACCATCATCTCCCTGGTACTCGAAATTCCTTCAATTTCTCGTTTTACTAATGGAGACTGCTGGACTTTTTTAGTTAACAGAGCAGCCAGGAGCTTGGGAGGAAAAAGGAAGGGGAACTCGACCTTAGAAAAAGTTCTCTGTCATCTCATGCTAGAATCAAAGCAGTCGTTTTCTTCCTGTGGCATTACTGTCCAGTGTGGAGTGAAGAGAGAAGTAGAGTACAATTGGGAGGCACTGAAATTGTTGAGAAAGAACTACTTCCTGTTCTGTGAGGATGACCTTTTGTTTTTCCTTGGAATAAACTTTCCCCCTTTCACGTTAATCTTTGCCATCTCTTATTCTAACCGTTTGCTGGGATGCCCTTCCCACTGATCCTTTTCCAGTTCGATCACTTTTCTTGAAATTCATCACTGTTTTTTGTCAGTGTTTGTGGCTGCATAAGATGCTTCAGTATTGCTTCTCTCAGCTAGACTGGGAAGTCTCCAAGTTGGGTAGACTCTTTCTCTGTATCCTAGCAATATGCTTGGGGTGGAGTATGGAGTATTTTACATAGGCACCTACTATCTACTGGGGTTAGCAGATAACTCATGCCACTGATTGAGGTGTGCTGTTAGATAGGGGTAAATGTCTGTACCTAACGGTCCTGAATGGCAGATCTGATGCAACCCCTTTTTCCTACTGTCAAGGTCTGGGAGGGGCTGAATGTGGTGAAGACAGGGAGAATGATGCTTGGGGAGACCAATCCAGCAGATTCTAAGCCGGGCACCATTCGTGGGGACTTTTGCATTCAAGTTGGCAGGTAAGTCCTGAGGGGCACTTATGACTTTCCTCAAAGCCATTTAAGTGGGGTATACAACAAATGTTTTTGGCATATCCCAGTTTTAGAAAAGTTTGAACTTTTAAATTAGGTGGTAATTATCATTGGATGAAAGCATTCTTAAGTAGCTACTTCAAATTTTAACTAAGACATTTGCACAAAGGAGCTGCATGTGGTAGGTTCTGTGACAGCAGGAAGTGTGGAGTGGGGAAGAGAAGGGCTCTAGCTTTGTCTTTTGTGGCGCTATGTCCATGATGAGTCTGTCACTTAACCTTATTTTGGTCCCCTCACCTATACAATATCTGTATGAAAACTTTACAGTTATGAGAGTCAAATGGAGTAAAGGGATTGTCAAATAAGCACGAGTGGTCTTGGTTGTGCTTTGCAAATTAGTGTTGTTAATAAAATGCTCTTGATAATGAATGTATCACATCTAGTTTAGGTTTTGGTCTGTGTTGGTTTGGCTATTCCTGTATTTTTCAGAATTTGATAAGGAATGTTTTGTGGCTCAGCATTCTTGGGGTACGAGCAGTTTTGAAGGGCGGGGGGACTTGGAAGCATAATAAAGTTGAACCAAGGGATATTTTTGATTAAGTACTTTTATAGGAAAAGACAAAAACACTTTGGGGGTAATCTGCTTCAAGCGGCAATTTGGCTGAAAAGGTCTGCAGAGGCTATACTTTGCTTTATCCATTAAACAAGACTTTTGCACTTTGAAATGTGGTAACTAGTGATTGTTTTCTTTCTCAGGAACATCATTCACGGTAGTGATTCAGTAAAAAGTGCTGAGAGAGAAATCAGCCTATGGTTTAAGCCCGAAGAATTGGTTGACTACAAGTCTTGTGCTTTTGACTGGATCTATGAATAAGAGGTGGACAAAAAGCACCAGTCCCCTTCAACACCGCCTGGATGTGTCCCTGGACACGGCTGTTCATTCCACTGATTGGAAGCAGAATCCGTCTTTTCTAAAGCGTATTTACCAATAAAGCCTTTGGAAAGTGGGTGCATCCTCATGTGCTGTTTTTTTTTTTAAAGAAATTTTATTGGGGAACTGTTTTTCCAGGACCCATCAGCTCCAAGTCAAGTAATTGTCTTTAACCTAGTTGTGGAGGGCACAGCTCCTTGGCCCATGTGGGAATCAAACCGGCAACCCTGGTGCTATGAGCTTGCACTTAACCACCTGAGCTAACTGGCCACCCTCCTGTGCTTTCTTGATACGAAGCTAGAAGTGACTTGGTTCCCGGCTAGAGTAGCTTTATCCAGAACTAATTAATCCTGCCTATTATTTTGGAAGCAGGATCTGATCCTTCTCAGCACCTGGGCATACCAAGACTCTAGGTGGGAAAGTAGTGAGGCTGAAGAGGGCCACATGTGGCACTGGTTGTGTAGCTAAGGAAACCAGTAAGGAAATAATGAACATGATAAATGTCTCAACCTCTTTGGCTGTAGAAAGGTGTATTTCTGCACCAAAAATTTGTTGCAACTTGGTAGAATGAAACAGACTGGTCAAGTCATCCAGATGGACATTTTTGTTGGCTGCAAATTGGGCAAGTTATGTATGAGGACATGGAAGCCTGAAGTCCTCTGTAAAATAAGGGTAATAGCACTGCATTGCAGGCTTACATGACGTGTATAAAGCAATTATTAATTTAGTGCCTGGCCCACAGCTGGTACACAAATACTTGAAGCAACCCTATCGCCTTCTCTTTCTTTCCTGGGATATTTATCATGCCTGTTTCCTGGGCCAGAAGCAGTGAGTGGTTACGAAATTCATATTCTTTGCTTTTAAGGTTAATTTTGCTGAATTGGCACTATTGTAAAATGATACCAAATAGCACCTATCAGCTGGAGCCTGGTTTAGAAGTTGGAGATTATAGAACTGTGGGGGTTGATGAATAGCTGTTTTCTGTTAGGAAACTGGTGAAAGCTAAGTGCCACTTCCATATGAAAGACTCAGTATGATGTTTGTAGTGCATGCTGCTACACTAAGACAATGGCAAACACTGACAGCTTGGTATAGATGTGAGGGTTCTAGTTTCAAGTCGACTGACAAAAAGTTTAACCTTTTCTAAATGATTTTTCAACTTAATCTCATGTTTATTATACAGTACATGCTTTTATTGCAGTTAAGTTGGATGATAAAAATTCCAGATTCTGGGTCAGGCCTGGGGATCTGCATTTTAATGTGTGCTCCCCATTATCCTTATGCACACTGGCTGAGGGACTTGGATTAACAGCAATAGCTAAGTAAGGGCTCATTCTGGGCCAGGCTGTTCCAAGAACTTGACATACATGAATTCATTCAATCTTCAGAACTCTTGGGAGGTTGCTACTAGTACCCCCTTTTTACAATTGAAGAAACTGAGCCACCTACGTGACTGGAGGTGTCAAGACTCCATGCTCTGGGTCACTGTGCTTCACTGCCTTTATGTAGTTGTCCAAGTGACATGAGAAAGTCCTATGTTAGGAGGGTTAAGTCAAATTTAGAGTGATGAGAGCTGAGATGATTTGGATGTTAGGACTTAAGTTGGTAGAAGTGAATGAGAAAGAAAGGGTAAGACTACGGTGAGATGTCAAGTTCTGCCTCTGGAGGAAGGTTGGGTTCTTGGACCTCAGCCTATATACCAGCAAGGTGTGTGAAGTGGGCAACTCAATGCAGAACCTTTCATGCTTTCACTGAAACTTTTGTTTAAACACAGTAAATGCATTAAAGTGCATTACTTTTTACATTATTACCTATTTGTTGTCAGTAGGCAAGCCCTAGTTTGGCCTAGTTGTGAGGCTTGGGATTCTTAACAGGCCAATAAGGGTTACCCTAGCCTCAGTAAGAGTGTGAAAGGAAATACTGGGTTGTTGGAAAAGTCATGATGTATTTTTTTCTATGTTTTTCATTGCAAAAATACGTCATGACTTTTCCCACAACCCAATAGTTTACTGTTCTCCCTATCTCAGGAAGCTGGATAAACACCACAGTGATAAAAGTTACTTGTTTGGGAGAAACACTTTGTTACTCTTAAAACAATATTCTGGTCATAAAACACACTGGGAAACTAGCTTCCTAAGAGGCATGTAATGGTTTAAAGAATATTTTATAATAGACATCTCAAAACTCATGGAATAGCAAATGAGAGCTAACCTGGAAACTCCAACTTAATATGGCAACTGTTCAAAGCCATTAAGGTAGGCAACAGCAGAAACTGGGTTCTATTTTTGTTTCTCTTGGAATGTACTGTATTTTTCTAAAGTGTGATGAAATTAACCCCTGAAGAGACCTAATCCATTTCATTATTATCTTACATCCATAAAATTCTCTACAAATTGCTTTTGCAGTAAAAGTTGAATAACTATCCAAAGTCAGTCATTAATAAGGTGTCTTTGCATCCCTTTTAATGTCAACAGCACCAGCTGGCTGGGACAATTTATTTACATCCAATGAACTCTGCCGCTGAGGTTATTGGAGCTAAAAAACCCCAAAAGTCCCCTGGCAAGTAAGCCAATCCTCAAACACCATGTTACTTCTAGCTAATGTGATTTCACACCCCATAAGGGGTTCACCTCGACTCCTGCTGTGGTTTTTGCCTTTTCCCTGTCCATGAAACCCCAGCTCAAATGCAACCTTGTCCATATGCGCCCCCATATACTCTTCCTCCCTCATCAGCTAGTAGTAAATTCCTCCTCATTCATGGGCTTGCTTTACATTATTACATTACAGATTCTGCGAAGAGGAAACTGGTCTGACTTCACAGAGGCTTGTGATTTGCTTATAATAAGGCACCCGCTACTTTGAATAAATAAGGAAACCCTTCAAAGAACAAAGCATATTAAAGAACTACTCAAATACAACTTAACTTTAACATTTTATTTTGTGTAAAAAAGGGCAAATTTAGTGAATTATTTTCATCTTGTACACAAAGTTATAATTTTAATGCTTTTCACATTCATGCTGAAAATTTGTAATTTGGTAAAAATGAAAGGAACATAAATTTCTCCGAAGGAATTTTCACGCCATTATATATACACTTCCTGAGAAAGTTTCAAATACTTTCTCAATGATCACAAGTTACCAAGAAAATAAAAGATTAAATTTGTACAGATATTGGTCTATATATCAAATACATACAGAAATGATGTAAAAACCTTACGCAGTTTACTTTGACTTCTGTCCTCAAAAGATTTGCCCAGGGACAGATGCTTTTCTTTTGTATAAATGACTGTGGCTTTATTTAAAATATGAAAATCAAAGGAAGAAACCCAGTTTAATCACAGTATTTTTAAAATCCCTTCCCAATAGTAAAGGATCATTACCAAATATATAGCACCATAATACAAATATTGATGGGAAAGGGTATTCACATCACGCAAAATTAATAATAATAAAAACAAACAAACACTGAAAACCCGTGTTAGTATCCGTAGAGTAAGAAGTTGATAACAGCTTTTGCTTTCCTCATACACAGCAAGGAAAAGGTTAAAGACTTTTAAACTACCAAAATCCCCAAATAATCCTAACAGGAAAAACAAAAACAAAAACAAACCCAAGGTCAGCAGTACATTTTGAACCGTAAAAGATAATGGGGCTATTGAGTTGTACAATTGGAGTTATGGCTAATACATAAATCTCCTCTGCATTAACTTATTTTCCGTTCATTGGCAGTAGGAGTTCGAGTCTGAACAATGAAGAGGGCTTCAGATTGTTTTTAGACTGTAGAAGTCCTTACCAACCCTTAACAGTTGGTCGTGGGATCAAGACAAGAAACACTTCATAAATAGGTTGGAGATTCAAAAACGCTCAGAGCCAGGTTTTGCTCTAGAATTGGAAGCTTTTAAAAACCTGGCTACAAATGAGCATTTCACAGAATTAATTACCAGGCTCCAAATCAAATGCCTCCTGACTTACTCAGTCCCTGTAGAGCCCCTAAGCCCAAGGTACTGGGAAAGCATGCCCTACAACTGTCTTCTTGTGCCCGTATCATGGAATCAGAGTCCTGGGTTTAATTCATTAAGCCTGAGAATAAAGATTGTTGTAACTCTTGCTTTGGAAGTCTTCTAGGCTTTAAGTTTATGGGAAGATCCTTAAAAGTTAAAGATTTGGGAAGTGTGAGGATGTCACATTTACAGTAGGTCCCTCTCAGTAATGTTTAAGATAAATATCCAGTAATTTAACAGCTGAATTCACATATATTTGACACATGAGAATCAACTTGGCGTTGATATGATCTGCATTTATGCCCCTAAAGAGTTAGTATTAAGAAATGTTGACATGCGATTCCATACATTCTTACACTATAAAGTAACAAATTTTACTTCCAGTAGCAACTACAAAACCTTATGTTATTAACCCCTCTTGCATAGAATGAGGTAAACCTGTGTGTATTACCAATGCTATTATTCCCAAAAGTAGAGCAATATTTTAGAAAATAAATTGCTGGTTTTTAACGTTCTATGCATTTTAAAATCCAAACAAAAATCTTACCTAAAATGGTCTCCTGGGGCTTTCCATTAACTTTTTTAAAGCATTCCATAGGCTGAAGGACTGTAGAGTTTAATCATTTTGATTAATTTCTAATTAGCCCTACCTATATTCCAGAGGAGATGGTCAATATTACCACTCTGAAGAGGCCAGGCTAAGACCCAGAAGCACTTCTAGAACAGATGCAATAATTCCTGAGAGTTTAGTTTATGAACCTCACTGGTAAATGCGAGAGCTCTCTCATTCAGTCACAACTCGGAAAGTTAGAAAATGCAGAGAGCAAACCTTTCACCAATTTACCCTTAGATCCTTTTTTGAAAGGAAGCCATGTGAATTTTAAAACAGGGAATGTTCAAAATGGTCCAAATCAGTTACTATTGTTATAACTAATTCTGAATACAAATAAAGACAATTCATACTATATATATATATATATGTGGAATTAAAAAAAATTAAATTCTCTTTCAAATTAGTTTTCTAACAAATCCAGGATAGTTAGAAGCAGAGCTGGAATGATTTTGAAATCTAAACTTAGTTTGGCTTTAAAAAACTTTGATTTTGATTCTGGTAATACAGAACATCTGTTTTGGGGTGTGGTTATACCAAGTATTATCTCACAGATAGAGGGAGGTGGCGGAGAACTGAGCAGAAGCCCTTTGGTGGGGTATTTTTTAGTAAGGAAAATGAAATAAACTTAGGACCTTATTGCATTTTCCTCAACCCCTCAACATGTAGATTGACATCCTGAATATCTTGTCAACCATTCCAGTTAAACACTTTAGTGTTAGGATATTTTACATTGTTTTTCAATTAAAGAAGAACGTAGAAAAGTATCCAGGGTTCTTCCAGTTTCATATAGAACTCCAAATACATTTTCACAGAATGAAAATCATTTCTTTCTGTACATTTAAAATGGGCTGCAACAAAATGCCAACAAGTAGAATTAGTTCCCCCTTCCATGATCTATGTGGTGATGAACCCTCCTCCATGAGGGGGTGTCAGTTGCATATTTCTGCAGCAAAGGAAGCTGGAGATGTGACTGGCCTAACTTCTAAAGTCCCAAAAATCTCCCAACAGGTACCAAAAAGGTTCATTTGTAATGACAGTTCACTTGCATTTACAACTATATCCTCCTTAAATCATTTCCTTCAATCCTGCTACCTAAACTTTAATCTTACCAAAAAAGTTAGAATTTCAGTTCTTGTTAACAATGCACATAAGTCCAAACGTGGAAAATATTACAAAATTCTTTCAAAAGCTTCAAATACAACACAAAAATTGTCCATCTTTATAAATTGAAAAATTTCCCCCCACGACTAAAATAGTTTCCCCACCCACCTGAAAAATCTGGAACTGAAATTTTCTATGTTTAGCAAAATGTCCCAGTACAATAGCCCCGCTGTACAGCTGGATTGATTAGAAATCAGTCCTGTGTAAAAGTCGTCCCCGCCCACCCTCAGTTTCTGAGCCAGCTCAGGGCTCCTGTTTAATGTAGAAGTTGGCAGAGCCATTGCTTTCCTGATCAGATGCTCCTTGGAGGAAATTATAATCCTCTCCATCTAGCAACTCGTCCTTCAGCTGCAATGTAGTCACTGTATGAAAGAGAGAAACGCACAAGATGTTACTAAGCCTTTCTGGAATAGTCAGGTTGCTTTTAATTTTTAATCCCACGTTCCATTAGCTCTACAGTTAGTAAGACTTCTTAATTTCTTCAGTAACTCTTAAAATAACCCCCCTGAAACTCAGCATTTGAGTAACTTTAATTTCCAAAGTATAGTTAGAATTATGAAAGTTCCAAAACAGAACAATACTGCATAGTGGACAATGCACAACAGACATCTTCAACAAAATATTCAAGGTAATAGTGATCACTAATTTGACTAGATTAGAATTTTTCTTATAATTAAGTATTCACTTTTATGTCAATGTCTATACAAACAATGATGTGTTTCTTGCCTGGTTCTTAACTATAATATTTAATAAGTAACACAATAAATATGACTTTAATATAATCTTATTATCTCCAAGGAGTACCTTTATTAAAAAGGCTCCCTTCAGAAGAAAATATATAAATGATATCAAATATTAAAAATAGAAATATCTATACTATAAATAGAATATGAATTATGTAATTTATTTATAAAATAAATAATAAATCTGGTATTAGATAAATATCTACATTAAAACTAGAATTATTGAGGGCCGGCTAAGTGGCTCAACTGGTTAAGAATTGGCTTAAGAGTGCGAGCTCTGAGCAACAGGGCTGCCGGTTCGATTTCCACATGGGCCAGTGAGCTGCGCCTGAGCTGAGCTGCCAACAGGTGGCAGGATGGCTCAGTGGATAGAGCATGTGCTCTTAACAACAAGGCTGCTGGTTTGGAAACAAACAAACAAAAACTAGAATCACTGAAAACGTGAGTAATCATTTGAGGTAAAATAAAAATTTACTGACATCAGCAATGTGAAAATCACTGATGCAAAACGGCTAACGTTCCCAATGGGATCACTTAATAGTAGCATTGTCTGGCTGAGTTTTTATCTGACTTGCTTTTGAGTGAAAACAAATCAACAGTGTAGGCAGTCCTTAATTTACTAAAGGTTATGTTCTAACTGGTCTTTATTGCTATGGACAACTATTTTTCAGTTTTCAGTATTTTTAGTGGGGTTTAGGTTTCTAGGTAGCCACTCAAGTCTTGCTAGTCAGAATTCCCAGTGACAGGGAGGCTCTTTCTTATATCGGGTCAAGGATGAAGACGAAGGGGAATTTCTCCTTTGCTGGGCCCAGCACTGGTCTTATGCAGAAATTTTAGGTTGCTTCATTCTGTGATTTTCCTAACTCTTTTTATAAGCCCCTCTGAACTTAAATTCCTGTCCCTCAACACAATTACCCAGTAACTTCAGATTGCCCTAAATCCTTTCCCGGAGGCCCACTTCCTATAAAAGCCCTCCCTTCCAAAAAATTACTTTACTTTTTTAATGCAAATGATCTCAGCTAGGTGTTAACAACTAGTATTATAAATTCCCAACCTCTCTGAGATGTGTTCGGGTTTCTTAAAAAGTTACTGTTTAACCAAAATCGAGTTGGTCAAGTTTCAAATAATTTAAAGAACAGGTGATGTTGTATGCTAACATATTCACTAGAGTCTAATCCCACGGGGAACAATGCTAACTTGCTCCAATTTCTTCAGCACACAGATCTGCTAATTCAGAGGTCACAAACTGTGCTTCCCCGCCCCAGCCTGTGCCTCAAAGTGGGAACTGATTGGCTGTTATCCTCCTCAGCTGTGGCACAATTACATATGTACGAAGTGTGACTCACTGAAGTTTAACCAGCTAGCTTCCTGGAGGCACTGGCTCCAAATAAAAGATAAAAATTTGTTTCTTTCATTATGAATCTTCTTATTACAACAGGAGTGAGGGAATGCACATATAAGGTGTGATCTAAAAATATGGTGAATGTTTAAATAAAAAAAATTTATTACAGTAAAGACATATTGCCATTAATCCCCCTCAGCTCCCCTCCAGCCCCCCAAACATCCCATCATCCTTGCCACTTTCTGAAGCAGTTCTGAAGTCCTCTTTCATGAATGTAATCATTAGTTACTCTGTTGTGGCTGCCTCAACAGCATAACTAAATCAATGTGGATGTCCTAAATAGATTCAAAACATTTTCCTTTTATGGTCATTTTGACTTTGGAGAAGAGCCAGAAGCTGCACGGTGCCAGATCAGGTGAATAAGGTGGTTGAGGACAGGCCGGAATGTTTTTATTTGACAGCAATTGTTGTACACCAAATGTGTGACACGGTACGTTGTCATGATGGAGGATGAAGCAAAGACACTCACGAAAGAGGACTTCCAGAACTGCTTCAGGAAGTGGCAAGAACAACGGGATACGTGTTCGAAGCGAGGGGGTAGTATTTTGAGGGGGATTAATGGCAATGCAATGTGTCTTTTCCTGAAATAAATTTTTATTTAAACATTCACCATATGTTTTGATCACACCTTGTATATGGAATGTAAATTGGGAACTGCTTATACTAAAAAGAAAAAATGTTAATTTATGGGGAGAATCAGGACTCAAAGGATATTTAGATGAGTAGTAAGCAAACTAAGTTTTCTTTTCTTTTATTGTTTTTATAAGTTTATTTGAGCCAAGCAGAGGACATTCCTGGAAGCAAGATCTCAACTGGCTGAGAAAATGCTGCTGCCAGCTAAGTTTTCATAAAGCTGTAACTCGACAGTGTCACCATGTGGAACAATATTAAAATAGCTACACTTTTAGAGTCAAATAGTACAGTCATGGAAAAATACTTCATGTCTTGATTTTAGTTACAAAAGATTAGTTTAAAAAATAATAGTCTTTGATATCGTATTTAATCATTTAAAAAATAATTATTAGAGATGCCAATTCACTTTATTTTACTTTGTTACTTGTTTTGGTAATGATGTTAAAAAATTTAATAGTTCAAAGACTGAAAAGTGAATACACTATGCCTATAATAATAGCAAAACAAATACCAATCAGACTGTTGAAAGGTAAAGCAAACATGACTGTGCAGTTCTTCCTTTCTTCAAAAAAGTACTTAATAAAAATGCTTTTATGAAGAATATCAAGTATATACTAGTTATCCTTCAAATCTAACCAACATGCATTAATTGTTAAGGATATTTGAATAATACCATGAAAATAAACACATGAAAAGAAAAAAACCCCAAGTTTCATTAAAGGTGCAGTACCCACAATAAAAGGTTGATTAAAACAATATCTTATTATATGATGATCAGATGGCTAAATGAATGAGAAAAGAATTACCGTGCTGCAAGACCAAACATGTTTCATTCAAACAGATGTTTGTTATTTTTTTAATGTAAGAAAGGTAAGGTGAGATTCTAAAGCACATCCTGAAACTATTTGCATTTACTATTAACAAATTTCTGGATTATGCTTCTACCCATGTGAAAACATGGAAACGATGTGCTAAATAAAAAAGCAACTCAAGATAAAGGTGAAACATTCACTCAGATGTGGAATGTTTTAATGCAAAATTTCACTGTTTTCATGGACCCTAAAATAAGGCATGTCTGGTATCTCCATGTTAATCATTTCTCCTTTCCAGGCTTTATTCTCAATGAAGGATGGATGACATAAAATAGATCCTGTGGCTACATTTCACTTTCTACACAAATGCCTTTTCCTAGCTCCGTTTTAAAAAGGAAGTTACTTTGCTGACTCTAATCACTAACATTTCAGAAGATAAACTAATGGAAATAGTTTTCCTAGCAAGAAGTGTATAAATAAAAAACACTCTCAATAGCTAATCAAACTGTCGCTTTCAGGTACTTAAGGCAGCAACACAGTCCCAACATAGTTTCACCAGAGTAAAATCACACCAGTCCCACAGATGTGCCCCCAGCTCAGAAGACACTACAGATGCTGGTGGGAGAAGGATGTCCTCAGGATTGGGTTTTGCCAATCCTAGAAGTTAAGTTCCATTTTACATGACTCAGTAACCTCTAACAAAACGTGACACCCTTCTTCAAAATCAGTCTAATGCTTAAAGAAAGTACATCCAGATGCCAATAAAAATTAAAATATATTCAGAGCTCACAATATCTATAGCTAATTAGGCTAAAAAATACTATTTCATAAACAAGTACAAAAAGAAAGTTAGAGACAAACAAGAAAAGAAACTGAAATGCTCTTTAAATAGACTTTGAAGGTTTTTCCGCTAAAGAGCAGATAAACTTGGGATGTGTAGTCCTAATCTATTTTTTTTATACAAAAGAGATATAGTGATTTCCTCTAGAGAAACAGACTGGGAATGATCAAAATGACCTAATATGCTCATAGGGAGGCAAAAGCTAAAGAACACATCTTAAAATGAAAAAAGAAAAAAAAAGACTGAAAACTTGAGGCACAAAAATATTACCAAACAAACAAAAAAATTAGCAGAGGAATGAGAAGAAAACAGAGTGAGGTAGTAAGTCTGACCTGGGTTTTCAATGTATAAAAGGCATTTTAAAGAATGCTGATTAGATAAAACAATTTGGTTTAAAAGCAACAGTTAGGATATGGCAGAACATACGCCAAGGCAGATACAACTTTGGCTTTCAAGCTATCTGATCTGTACTCATGTCTAAGGTTCACCACATGCAAGTGAAGCCTTTAAGATCTTCTATGATGTTTGTTCTTAGCAATTACAAAGGGCAAAACCTGCTGTAGTCTCCCTTACAATCTACTGGCTTGGTCTAACCAATTAAACTCAAATTAGTTCACCCAATTAACCACTGTGCATCCACACATAAACATAAAATTACGGAAATAAATTTCACTCAAGTTCAACACCAAAATTATACAGGTATTTAATTTCCAAGTCCATGTTATTCAACTAAGGATTGTGGTAAATATCTACCAGAACCAAAATTACACCAGAACACAATACACGTCCTTTTGAATGAATGAGACGCTATGGAATGCTATGAACGAAGCCTCATCTTTGGATCTGATTAATCAGATCAATCCCTAATCATGCTATTTCTCCACCAGGTCAAGTCACACAGAACTCCACAATGCAAAAGTCCAACCATTTTAATGAAACCAAGAAATAGTCCAAGTTGTCTCACAATTTCATAAGCTGAAATTATAGCTTTACCTTAATTCGAAGCTCAGAAATGGTTTAGAACAAAATAAAAATCCTTCCCTGATGATACATTTTAGTGAAGTGACTACTAAGAACTAGTGAAAATGAGTTTTCAGTTGAAAGAAAAAGAAAATTTGATGAGTCAGCACCTGTCATGCCAGACCATGCTTTGTCTCCCGCCACCCTACCCAGGCTTTTACCCTCTGTAGTACCGGAGGTGCTGATGTGACTGATTACCTGTTTTGAGGCTGGGCCTGAACTCCTGGCTAGTGCTGGGAGGTGGGAAGGCCTCCAGGGCTGTCTGTGCTGGAAGGGCTCGGTATGGAGGAGGAGTCAACTCTTCGTCACCAGAGAAGCTCCTCCGCACCCCACCTGACATGGGCAGGCTCGACAAACTGACAGGCTTCTTCCCAACTGGCATCTTCCTCTCTAAATATCAAGTCAAACTAAAGTAAGCTTTTACTCACGTGCGTGGCAAGTAAAGTGCATTCTATTACTAGGAAAGGCTGTGTTGCATAGTGTACTCTGAAAAGAGAACCAACTATGCAAGGTTTGTATTTCTGAGAACCAGGAGTGTGCGTATGTGTATGTTTTAAGGGAGAATGATGGTGGATTATTTCTAGTCTTTGAGAGTCTGGTAATCCTGCTTCCTGACTCTCAAAGCAATTTAAAACAAAACAGAGCAAAAGGAACTACAGAGAGCATTTAGTGTGGAGAATAGCTAGCTAATTTTCCTTCCAGAAAACTCCAGCTTGAGGGGGTCTGAAAATTCAGTGGAAAAGAAGATTTTAAAACACTACTTGTAGCGTAGTATTTCACTGCCCATATAAGCCCAAATTGGCCTTCAGGGAGAACTCAAACAGTTTAATGTATTATCTGGGTGGCAGGATTTTACTGATATGAAATGTGCTCCCCCAACTTTTGGCTTACAATCCACTATTTTAGAAAACATTAATAATTCTTATTCTGAAAAGCATTTCTAAAATTTAAAGCTTGTTGCCTGCAAGTTCTAAAGCAATCTAATTTCTTTTGAAACACCCACTGGTTCCAGTTTCATAAGCAGCCATAAGCCTTCAAAGACTTAACCAATGCTTTCACCCACAACAAAAAAAAGATACTCTAAACTTTGCAAATATTCAATAACCAACCATATTGCATCAGTCAGGCTGAAAGCGAAGGATACTTACATATCTTTGTGACTATAAATTTTATTTGTTTTCTTCCAGAGTATACAAATGACCCAGGCAAGGGCAATCAGAAATTATGCTTTACAAAATCAGGACTAAAAGATAATCAGAGCCAAATAGTATTCCTGTGTAAGATGATCTGGAAACTCAGCTACCAGTGAGTACACAGTCAACTCTCAACTGCCAAACCTGAATCACATGTAGCAATCATTTAGACTTTCTCTAATGCACTACACTTAGAGGTAAAAACACAAGGAAAATCTCCAACTCTCTACTGCTTATACTAGCCCCTGCAGATGCTACAGAAATCAGTGCTGGTTTTCTGGCTCTAGAATGGCTAAACCTTGAGTAAAAAAGGCTTTTCAGATTGGACAGATCACATGTACACAACAGATCACATGAGCGCATCCTTTTGGCACAACATTACTTATTCTTCCAAAACACTAGTAAGTAGTTATCCCTTTATAGCAAAAACACAACTCATTATAAAACAAGCTAAGAATAATGAAGCCAATTAACTTGTCTATTTCTGCAACAAATAAACACTACCAAAGAACATACTGATGGATGATTTTAGGTACAGAGAAGACCAAAGAGCTAGGAGATGAAACAATAGAGCCGGAACATAATAATCTGTAGGCAAACCTAAAACAAAAAACTTTGTGGTCTATCTGCTATTGATATAAATCTGCACACAAGCAATGGATGTCTTAGGTTTCTGGATCCCAAATCCTTTTGTATTTGGGTAAGTAAAGTTTTGTGGGAAAAATTTCTAATAAACGATTTCCTGAGTAAAAAATAAATAAAAGAAGCAGACAGTGCTCTTACAATGAAGACTGCTTCTTTTTCATTCACGTGGCACTACAATTCCTCATCCTCAACTCCAAAATTCAATATTTTTTGATAAAACTTTGGTAACAAAACCAGACCTCACTTGGTGATACTATGTATAATCTTTATTTGACTCACTTAATGTAAATATTTATGTACATTTTGTGTCAGAAAATGCTCCAGAGTATGCAAGGGGTAGCATAATACATGCTGCACACACTGTAGTTTTCTAAAATGCGAAAAAGTTCTAAATTCCAAAACATGTCTGGCCCCAATGGTTTACTAATAAAGGATTGTGAGTCCATAGTTCTTTTCCTTTCTATGTCAAAAAGACAATTTAAAGGCATGAGAGATGATGCCATAATATTAAGAGCTATTAAAATGTTACAGTTAAAACACATTACATTTATAGCTAAATTCATTTTTTCCAGCTAATCCAGAAATCTGCTGATGTTAAATGTCACTAAAAACTGGGGTACTGTTATTATCACTTTATTAATTTCATATTTCTTCCCATGTCCCTAGCCCATTAATTCAGTATCATTAAAGCCCATAAGCTAGAAACAAACCCTGCAAAAATCCCACTGAAGGAGGCATGTGAATTGTGTATACAATGCTCAGAAATTAGTTCTACAAAGTATACATTATATAGCCATCAAATAATAAAAAACTTTCTTAATTCAACATCTTGGAAATGAACTTCTGAAATCTCAGTCTTGTCCAATAAATAGGAAGGGAAAAGACAGGTTAAAACCGCCTGTGCTATTGAACCTTCCAGAAAGCTTAGGGATCACATCTACTATGGCTAGTCCACTAAAAAAGTTTCCATGTGATTTCTTCCTAATCGTTTCCAGATAAATGGGAAATCACTTTGATATTCCTGGTCTGGCAATGTTGTCTAAAGTTCTTTTAGGTGGATATCAAATGGGGCAAGTGGCTGGTCGGCAAAATAATTCTAGGCCTATGGGAAACTTACGCCTATAACAGAAAAGAGAGGGTAACAGACAGGTCTGAAGGTTATCACTGTTGTGAGGCTGAGCAGGGTTTCATGCTGGGAGGAAACTAAAGCACCAAGGCAGTGGCTTTAAGTGCCCCACTGAAAAAAATTACAAAGGAACAACTATAATCAGTAAGGTAAGGATATATTTGATTTTTCATGCCGCTTCACTTTCTTGGTTGTTAATGAGACAGATTAGCACTTATCTGAACATTTGGCAAGTCAGCTGGAAACAAATGTGTTTTAGTTTTAATCCTCAAATGTACTTTTTACTTTCATGTCTTTGCATGAAAATAATCTCAGAATCAAATATTCCATGACAAGCTTCATGAAGAGAATCTGTGGCTTTCTATGGTGGGGAACAAGATTTTATAAGAAATCAAGTAGAGCTATCAATATATTTTATATTATTTTCGTTATTAATGCCAATAATTATTCATTATAAGGAAAAATATAGAAAGCATATTTAGAAAAATATACTTAAGCCTGACTTTGTTAGCTTAGTCAACTTGAATTTCTTCTAAGTATCATTCTAAAGAGTTTTAGTTTATAAGAAGGATGGGTTTATTAGGCTCCAAGTCTATTGGAAGCATCCAGCATCTGCTTTTTAAATTTTTTAATAAAAAGGTTTTAAAAGAGAGTTTTAGTAGGTTTACATATTATTTCAAAAATCATTTGTAGGCTATTCTTTACCAACTGTTTTAAGTATTATGTAATCATTTTTCCTGTCAATTAAAAAGTTTCTCATTATTGCAAACGTTTGCCTTTTGTGGCATACTGCACCTTTAAGCATAGTACACAGTGCACAGTCTTCAGCTCTCACATGGGCTATCGTTTTCTGTGCAAGAATACCATGACCTCAAGTGGTTAACAATTTAGGAAATGTATAAACACCATATGGTGACCCACTTTTCTTATGTCCTTTGTATTGCTGGGACTTAGCCTTTTTCTTCTGTTTCGATGAACCTGATTGGCTTTCTCTTGATGCTGTAAAATAAAATTTAAAAAATTGGTACCAGATAATTGCTTACAACTATAGATACAACTTAGATGAAGTATCTTTACCAAGACCATTATGCTTATCAAAGTACATAATGCTTTGGAAATAAGGGTACTTGTTCCAGTAAAACCATGAGAGACTCCACCATTTAGTCAATAAGCACTTACTATATACCAGTAAAGATTTTTAGCCTATAGTTTTAAACTCATTAAAATAAGTTTAATTGGGTGAGTGCTCTTACTGTTGTGTTTCTATAGTCACTATGTAACTGACTATTGAGTTCACACAGCCATGGTACACACGGTCTGATTCTGTGATATTGTTGTTGAGTCTTAAGGTCTTACCTGGCAACCAATCAGACATAGGTATATTCTTGTCCTGTGAGCTCACAAGATGCTTTATGTGAGACAGTCCTCTGGAGAATTGCTGATTTTTACAAAAGGACACCTTTTCTGTATACCAACTTACACTGTGATGCCGGAGGCTGTAGTTGATATCCAGTTAATTGACACCACCCTACAGGATAGAGGTCAGGAGACTCACAGTCTACCCACTGATCATACTCTTCTTCCCATCCATCAAAATGTATCCTCAAGAGACGATGAATAATTCGAGTTACTGTGGCTACACATATTAAACGTGGCTCCATGAGATCTACTGCTTCTAATTTCATTCCTACACGAAATCCGTGATTTGGAACATCCTGACATAGAGAGGCAAAATATTAACACTGGTGAGAAGAATGTACAACTCTATTACTAAGACAGGAAAAAAAACCGAAGCAATGTAACTAACTATAATATAACCATAATATAACCAAAATAACAATTTAAACCAAAAAATTCCCAAATAATTCTTTAGTCATCAAAACATGTGAAGGTGAAGCATTTAAGAAATAGTTAGGGCTGGCCAAGTGGTGCGATGGTTGAGAGTTGGCGTGGGAGCGCCAGCTCTGAGCAGCAGGGCCCCGGTTCGGATCCCACATGAGGGCCAGTAATGCTGCGCCCACTACAGCTAAGATGGTGAACAACAGCTCAACCTGAAGCTGGGCTGTCGGGAGTTGCCGGAGATGGCGTAGGCTGCAGTGGGGCTGGCCAGCAGCTGGTGTGCGCTTTCATGAGCCGCCGTCCAATGGCCGGCGAGTGACTGCCTCACCCGGGAAGAGCGCAATGATAATACCAACATGGGCCAGTGAAGCAATGTCCTCCACAACTAGACTGAAGAACAAAAAGGACAGCAACTTGTCTGTTCCCCTCCCCCAATTCCCCAATAAAATCTTAAAAAAAAAAACAAAAAACTAGTTAGGCAATAGATTTCTATTTTACTCAGTTTAAAAAATGAAACAAACTTTGGAAACAAGCTTCACTTCCTAGGTAATGTCTATATTGTTTTATTACTCTGCATTTGTTTATATTAATCTCCACTAAGAAATCCTAACATAAAACAAAGACATTATGATCAACAATGATTTCCATTTGTGTGGCATCAAAAAATTTCCACATAATTATGCCATCATTTAAATTTACCTTATTAAATAGTTTTACTGGTGCTGCAATGGAGCCAGTTTCCCTGAGGTAGTCAAACCATTTAAAAGGAAGTTTTGTGTAACCTGAAAGATACAAATGGTTTTAGTAGCAGTTCACTTAAAATTAGCATAATACTAATATGCAGATAAAAAGTAACTCAGCACACTTAAAATCTCAGCTTTTAGGTTACATGATAAATTTTTAACTCAGGCTATAATACTGCTGAGCCCCATAATGCTTCCATATTATAAGGATTTTCCTTCTTTTCTAGACAGACATTGGTGTAACTACTTAGGCTAATGCAAAAGTGACTCTCCTCTTTTCTGTCCACCACAACAAGTACAGACTTTTGCTTTTTTCAATCCTAGGCTCAGAACAGTCTAGCATGTAATACTTTCCAGTGATATTTTTCTTTCTTTGCAAGAAAAAAAACTGGCTGGGAAAATACTACTTTTATAGACCTCTGGTTTTGGCTTTCCTCTTTAAGAGAAAAACGCAAGGCTCAGATACTGAAACTAGGAAAGTTACTGGTCAAGCCCCGAGAGCTACTGAAGGGTATATCTTCTTTTAAAAAACCACATGGGAATCTACAAGTGGAAACTTGCTTTGCCCCTAAACCTAAAGTATCTATTTTTGAAAAAAGCTTATGCATGCAATAGCCTCTTGAGCCTACATCACCATCTCAACAGGGCTTGAGAATACTAATTCATATTACAAAATGTACAGAAGCTCAGAAAAAATTCTATACTAATGTAATTTATTAAAGATAGCCGGAATACAGTGCTTTATATTTTTAGAGCACCCCACAGCTCTTGTTATGTATGTATGTACTTATATATGCAATATATACATATATTATATATTCACACAGCAAGAAATTTAGGGCTATGTTAAATGTTGTGAACAGATACCAGGTAAAACAAGCAAGAATGAAAACCCAGTGTTTGTATTAGGATGAAGTACCTCTAGGTGGAGTAAGTTCAATCATGTTAATTTCACAGAAACCAACAGGGAAAATAGAAGGGGAGGTTGCGTGATAACAGAACCAGTCAGATCCATCTGCTGCTTCTGAGCCATCGATCCCAATCATCAGGAATCCGTCAGCTAGCACCTTTAAGTTAAAGAATTCCACATACTTAAAATTAGATACCACTATTACAAAAATGGTTCTTTAAGTGACATGATAAAAGAAAGGAAAACCTATTACACAACTTATTTTCTTTTGGATTTATCACACAGAGTTTTCCCAAACCCTTTACACCTTCTTCAGGCTTCAACTTTACCTCTCTTATGCTACAGGTAACCATGCTCCTCTGTGACAGAACTAAGGCTGGCTATGGAGGGTCCTCACATTCCTTCCTTTGGCCCTTAAGATGGTTGTTCCCCTGTGAGACATACTTCACCACTGGTACCTTGCTCCAAAACACCATCTCTTATACTCTATAATGTATCCCATTTTCCAGTACATTAAAAATATTTAATGATACTTTATTTTGAAATAGTTTACACTTAACAGAAGTACTATTCTTGTATAATGAACTCCTATAGTCTTCACCCAGAGACGCAATTCAAGTTATATACTATGTAACTGCTGCAGTCTGATTTTTGTCCTTACCCTACTGAACTGCTAAATTTATCAACGACCTCCTAGTTTGTCAAATCCAGTGCCTTTTTCCCCCCAACACTCACCCTCCTCAAACTTTAGCCTCTCTGTAGTATCCGCTTTTTGTTGGCTATTCTTAAACTTTTTGAAACATTTCATCCCAGACTCATTACATTACTCTCTGATCATTCCTTCCACATTTTCTTGGTGGCTGCCCTTTCACGTCTATCTGTACAGATTCTGACTTTGGCCCCTTTCTTTGTTTTGGTGAGGTTATCCACACCCAGTGCGCTTCAATGACTGACTTCTGTATTAACAATTCCTCGAAGTTTTATCATGAGTTTGTCTCAGTGCTGCCTTTTACCTGCAGATGGACATATTTTCTGAGAGTTAACACAGAGCATCAAATCAACAACTCCTTCTCTTACTCCTTGCAAAGGTAATCAATTCCAGGTCCCACAACTCCTGCTAAACATTCCGTCCTTTCATCATTGCCATTAACTCTCCCTCCACTATTCTGTTTGACAGCATTGCGTTTAGCCTTCCTCTATGGACATGTCCCCTTTACACAGTTCAACTCTCCTTTGGTGTGACCCCCTTTTATGCCAGAACCCTTAACTAGCTTATCCTGTCACTAAAGAAAGCTCAGATGACCTGACCAAGCATTCAAAGCCTGCACTACCTGGTTCCATATTAACTTTTAGTCTCTGTCCCCAAGTTCCTTTTCTCCTAGTTATTTCTACTCTATTGGCTATGCCTATAATAACTTTCTTTTCAAGCATAACAGCTTTGCCTAAGACCTCTGGAAAGGACTATAACCCACTCACATGGGACTCCTTCCTCCCTTTCTAAATATAGCTGACTGAACCAGGGACTAGCATCTAACCTTTAAAGGACCAAGCCAAAGGATGGCCCAGCTAGACTGTCCCTCAATAATTAGAATTAGCCGTGGCTCAGAGCTGGAAACAAAAGGCCGTGATACAGAATAGGACTAGGAGCCACCATGTGCAGACTCAGTGAGCAAAACATGAATCAAGAGTGAAAGAAATGTGGCAAAGACTCAGAACAAAGCAGAGATGGGACAAAGAGGCCTGATAGGTGGAAAGAGTGACAGTGGCTTATGCTTTCCAGTCCTCATCCTTGTGCCTTGACACGTATGTGACTGTGCTCACTGCGTCCTCAGAATAACTTTCCTAGAGCTAACCTGGGTGGGTTTCTGTTTCTCATAAACAAAAATCCTTGCCCAGAATAGTCAATGGAACTTGTCTGATGTGTACTGTGTGTGAACTACTCGCCATTTCCTAAATGTGGCCTGTGCTTGGCTATCTTGCTACTTTTGTGCACATTCTTTTCTCATGGCAGTTTCCTTCTGCATCTCTGCTGGGCTTGGTTTTTCCCATCCTACAAGATGAAGCTTTCAAATGTTCTCTTTTCTATAAAGCTTTCCCTGATTCCTCTGAGACAATGTGATGTGTTCTTTATTTGAACTCCAACAGGATTTTACTTGTATCTTTCTTAGGTCAGTCAATCTTGTATTAAACTTATTTTTGTACATCTTACCTTGTTCTACAAGACTAAGTTTTTTAGAGTCCCTACCAAACCTGGCACGGAGGTTATTAACTAGGTATTTTCCGAATGAAACTTCAGTAGATCATAGAAATCTGTATTTTAAATCATACCAGGTGGTTTTGATCACTAGTCAGGGAAAAACGTTGGAGCCAGTCTTGTCTAGCTGTGTGACCTTGAACACAAGTGCTTGGAACATGGCAGCCATCATAATTGTATTTAATTCTTTTGGTTTAAAGTTTTAAACTGTGTTGAAATCCAAATCACAATTTAAGTTATACCTTTATGTAAGTAGATTCTGCATCAGTGGTTAATTATGGCTAATTACCTGAGAATCACCTGGAGAGTTAAAAAAACAAACAAAACAAAAACCAATGCTAGGGCCCCAAACCAGACTGATTAAATCAGAGTGGGGGATGAGGGAGATAAGAAGCCTGGTTACCTATATATTTTTATAAGTTCCTCAGGGGATTCTGATGCCTAACTAAGAACTGAGAACTTCTCTTCTAGATCGTTTCATAAAAGCAGTTTCAAAAGAGAGGAAAAAGGAGAAAAGAAATAAAGTACTAACAAAAGGAAGGAAAAGGCACAAAAAGTTAACACAGGAAACTGAAGATAAACTTGGCCTTGTTATAATTCTATGTTAGATTAGCTTTGACCAGGAAGTAAAACTTAAATAAATATTCTTGCTCTAAGTTAGGATACACTTCCACAAATAAAGGTAGCAGACTCAAGATAACAATCTTGACAATAAGCTTACATAGAGAGAACCTATGGGGAGAGAATTCAAATTCATTTTGAAATTACCAGCAACCTTCTCCCCAGTAAAGACCTAGACACACACATTTTGTCAAAATGAGTATGTTAGGGACCTCCTTCTCCTGTCACCTTAAACCCAGTTCCTATTACTGTATCGCTATGTTTTAAAACCCATTCACTTACCTTTCTAATGGTTGCGACACATATTGTGGAAAGATTTAATGGGTCTATAGCTTCCAATTTCATTCCTTCCTTGAACCATTCCCCACTCTGGTCTACTTCTTTTACCTAAAGAATTACATGAAAGCACATTTACTGTTACAAATGTTATCATTTTAGTAAGTAAAATATTACCAATTTGGAAAGGTTTACCAGATGAAAATACCAAATGCCTTCTCCTACCTACCTAATGTTATAACTCAAATTTCTATTAGGGAACAGAGAGAATTCAGGCAAACAGACAGAACTTAAGAATAATTATAATCAATGGTGTGACACCTATGAATTACAAGGTCTTAATTCTTTTATGTAATTGTGATTTCCATAATTTTAGGAAAAAACCCACAACCCTCTTTCAAACATTAATTTACAAATGAGGGTTCTTATAAAAACTTCTTACCTTAGCAAATAAATGTGGTGGTGTATCAAAATGTCCATCCTGTTTCTTTGTAATATCTACAAGGAAAAGTTACATACTAATCTGTCAGCATTTGTGAGAAGACCAAAAACCACGTTTCTTTGAAGGTTTTAAACTCACAAGGTATGGATACTCTAAAACATGGCAAAAATACATGCCTTCTACATTTATGGTGAATAATCTCTAGTAGTCATTCTCTCTTCAGAGTACATGTGCCAATAAATACATTCAGGCAATTAGAATGCTGGTAATTCCCTTATTAGAGAATTACAACTTTTTTGTTTTAATGTGTTTAGAATTAAGTCTAACCACATGTAATCTTGTTACTTTGATTAAAATGGAATGGAAAGGGAAATGCCACCTTTAGATCTTTCAAATGGGCTGGGTAAGAAAAGTGTTAAGAAAACAAATGTAGTTGTGACCAAAAAGTGCATCATGTTTTAAAATTGAGAACACGTGGAAGGAATATAAAGGAATAAATTAGGACATTAATATTCTGGTGTGAAGTTTCCCTAATTAAGGTAGAATAAGCAGCCCAGGCAACTAGAACACTATTTTTGATCAATGCTATTCTGTAAAGAAAAATAACCAAGCCGTACAATACAGCCTTAATGATATCTTCAGGAGGAGGTCTTGGGACAGGTGCTTACCAGATCTTTTGAATCGATGGCCTATGCTTCGAGACCAGCCAATATGATGAATTAGTGGGCTGTGCATATGGCACCAGAAGTCATCTGTTCTATCTTCACTATCTTCATATACTAGTCTTAATCTTCCTCCAATTACACTCTCCACCACTGCCACTCGTGTTCGACACAAATGCCTCTTGTCAACCACTTCTACTCTCATGCAAGGTTTGAAAGGATACTGCATACTTTCTGAAACCTTGAAACAAAAGCAGACAAAAACTGTTTGAATTCATGACAAAGGTCTACAGATCATTTCAACATTGTGCTATTTAAAATTCTGACTGCACTTGATATTGAATATAGATCTGGCTCACTGAAACAACTCATTTAAGTTACTCCTTTTTGTAGGGCTCTCATTTAACACTTCAGTACTTTCTAAGATTCTGTCTTTACCTTTTGTGAGAAATCGGGAGGAAGTGTTTTGGCACCAGTAAGTCGTTTCACTAGAAAAGCTTTCCAGTTTGTATACTTATGCTGAATAGCTGAAACAAAAGAAACAACCAGTTACACTTTAGCAAAAGTAGAACTGCTTCTTAAAGCATTTGTTAAAACAAAAGTAACAAATTTCCTTGCGATTTACAGTATTAAGGTCCTGAAAAAGAGCAACAAAAATAGAGAAAACAAGTAAGACTTGCCAGCAAATAAGTTACTCGAAACCAAACAACAGTAAGTTAATTTCTGTATCACCTTAATGTTACTATGTGTGAAATTGCATTAAAGTACATATATTTAAATTATATTAAGGATAAGTAAGCTACTTACTTCTAGGGGGGACAAGAGGTTTTCCACTGGCTGCACACCAACCAACTGGGTGGATATCAGAACCACATATATTGCACCAGAAGTCCAGACCAGAGTCATTTTCAAATCCTTCATATCGTAAGAGGGCATTGTAACCTGAAACCAACAAATCAATCACCACATAATGAGAAAACCAAATGACGTACACAGAATATAGCTGCTGGTTGTGGCTGCCCAATGTCAGTGTGCAACTGCAACAGAAGCATGTGTGGGGCTTGTGAACAGACAGATAGCTGGGCCTCACCCCAGAAATCCAGATTCTGTACATCTTGGTTGAGTCTGAGAATTTGCATTTCTAACAAGTCCCCAGGGATGCTGCTGCTACTGGTATATGAATCAGACTTTGACAACCATTTGTACAATGCAATTAAATTAGTTTAACTGTTTTCAGAGGAAGGCCTCCTCCTTTGAATATATTTCAAATTTCCCCATCATTTCTTAAATTCTAGAAATGAAATTCTCAGTGAAAACAGGGGTGGGAAAGTGCTACCAGAACATGTAGTTTTGAAAAGAAAGAAGACTGTGGTAAGTTAGCAAAAACTTGTTAAGTCACAGAAATCCAGTTAAAGTATATTTCAAAGAAATTAGTTTATCCAGCCAATGAGGTGAGCAATTACTTATTCTTGGATAATTTGGATGTGGCTACTTCAAGAGTTTAACTTTTTCTGTCTAGTTTACTTGGAAATAAGATTTGAAAATGCCAAGTAAAAAAAAAAAATTCAATAAACGCAAACAAAAGTATGTGAAATCACTTAAAAACTATATGTACTAAATAAGCAAATAGGAGGCTGCATTTCCTAGAAAGAACAAAAAGTATATGATATAACCTGTTTATAATTTAATAAATCTGTTGATAGTAAACTGAGGTTAATTTAAGGCCTTTAGTGGAATAAAAAAGGCCCAATAAACTTGTATTTCAGGCCAGATGCTAAGTTCAGTTACCATTTTCATCTGTTAATATCTATAATAAAAATTTACAGCATTAAATTTTTAGTTTTAAAATTAAATAATTTTGGGGCCAGCCAAGTGGCGCAAAGGTTAGGGGCTGGCTTGGGACGCCGGAGGGCCCCGGTTCGGATCCCACATGTGAGGGTCAGTGACACTGCCCTCTGCAGCTGAGATGCTGAGCAATGGCTCGACCTGGAGCTGGGCTGCCATGGGTCGCCGGCAACGGCGTGGGCTGCAGCCCCTGTGGCAGTGGAATGCCATGGGCTGCCGTGTGTGGCCGGCAGCCAGCGTGAGCGGCCAGCAGCCGCAGTGAGCGGCCGTCCAGGAAGCCGGTGACTGATCTGCCTCGCCCGGGAAGAGCGCAATGATGGTGCCAACTTGGGCCAGTGGGGCGGCGTCCTCCACGGCTAGACTGAAGAACAAAAAACGACAGCAACTTGTCTGTTCCCCTTCCCCCATTTCCCCACCACTGTTCCCATCCCCCCAATTCCCCAATTAAAAAAAAAATCTTAAAAAAAAATAATTTTAACAATTTAAACAATTCATGAGTTTGCTGTTGTTGAGCTCTAGCCCATGATTAACATCAGGCTCGCTTCTAAAACATTATTACAGTGGCTTTGAATAAAGTTACATGAGGTAATTAGATAAAACAGAAATGTAAAATCAGAGATGGAAGGTAGAAATAATTCTGGGATATTAAATGCAACTGACTTAAACATCTAGGACAGAAAGAATATATCACTATTTTAAATTATGATGTAGAGAATAATAAAAGCATTTAGAGAATTCTTAAATGGATGGAGAAATGTTTCAAGGAAAAGGTGGGAATTGGATTGGGTTATACGCTGAGGAGAGCAAGGGACACTTGAGAGTAAGCAAAGGCAGAGGTGACGAAGAACATGCTGTATGAGGGAGGAGGGAGAGTCATTTCTTTAGAACAGAACACTTATGTTGGGGAGCAACAAAAAACTTGGTCACTGGGGGATGGCGCAACTTGAATGAGTGACCATCTGGATCCTTTAAGAACAAAGAAGTCATTAGAGACGAGCAGAAAAATGAAATTAAGATCATTTTTAGGTAAATTAAGTCTATCAGCAATACACAGTAAGCAGATTGCAGGGTGTTTTGGGGAGACTTGTTGGAAATGGAACTAGAAACAAGAGCAGGACACCTCCTTCCAGTAATCTAAGGACAACTGTCTTATTTGAGTGGCTGCCCCCTCCTCTAAAAGTACTGCAGTGCCCTACCTATACCACCACTCGCTGAGTACCTTGTCAAAAATACACTCAACACTTGGCAGATGCGAAGTTGCTGGAAAAAACATCTTATACTTCTGCATATCACCCGCCCATAGTGTCTAACACAGTAGACACCTAACGCACTTATTTCATGAGCAATAAGGTAATGATGGCCAGGGTACACAAAAGCAGTGGGAATGAAGAAAAAGGAAGAACCCACCATGTATGAAATTATCAACGCCAGTTTACCTTTAGTATTATGAACCTTATCGCTTTTTTTAAAAAAGATTTTTATTGGGGAACTGGGGGGATGGGAACAGTGCTGGGGAATTGGGGGGAGGGAAACAGACAAGTTGTTGTTGTTTTGTTCTTCAATCTAGTTGTGGAGGACGTTGCTTCACTGGCCCAAGTTGGCACCATTATTGCGCTCTTCCCGGGTGAGGCAGATCAGTCGCTGGCTTCTGGACGGCCGCTCACTGCTGGCTACACACGGTAGCCCATGGCAACCCACTGCAGCAGGGGCTGCAGCCTACGCAGTTGCTGGCGACTCACGGCAGCCCAGCTCCAGGTTGAGCTGTTGTTCAGCATCTTAGCTGAGGGCAGTGTTACTGGCCCTCATATGTGGGATCCGAACCGGGGCCCTCTGGCATCCCAAGCCAGTTCTTAACCATCACGCCACTCGGCCGGCCCCCGCTTTTTTTTAAGTACCTTAACTTTGTGTTACTTTTCAAAGTAATTCCCTATACAAGGGATTGGCAAATTATATTATGATCAACTGATCTGGCCTATTACCTAATGTTCCCCCCCCCCCAAAGATTTTTATTGGGGAGCTGGGGGGATGGGAACAGCGCTGGGGAATTGGGGGAATGGGAACAGACAA